CCTGCGCATGTGATGTGGAGCCATAACTCAGTCGGCGCCCACTATAAAAATCACGGGTCGGTCCATCCTTAACAGTGGTAGACGGTCCTGGGAAGTATCTACCCCAATCCACTCCTTGAATATTCGAGCCCGTGATCAATAATTGACCCGATGGGGTCACCTGCGATGACACTGGAGTGCGATAAATTCCAAGGCTGTAAGACGGCATGCCCGTCTCATGCATGTCACCTGCCATATCAGCAGCAACATCATCAGCAGGAGCCTCAACGCCCCCTTGCTGGGGACCACCTCCTCTCCGCCCACGACCACGTCCATGAATTGATGGTACTGCGTTGGGTCCATATAATCAGCCTCGTGTGCCAAACGCTGATCCAATCGGGCTCGCCGCAGTGTCTGGCCAGCCACATCCATGAATCGATGACTATACTCCTACATGGCCACAGGATCGTGGACATGACTCTACATCTGCTGCCACATATGATAGACGGTATGCAATCCAATCGCCTGCACAAAGTAAAAAATATAAACTATATATTTGGCACTAAATTACAGGTATATAATTAATAATAACAGAAAATATACCAGGGCCTCGTGTCTCCCGGCGTATGGGACGTACCGACCATGTGCCTGATGAACTGGGTTCCCGATAAAAATTCGGAAAACAGTCTGGTACCATGCCATATAACGTTGAATAGGAAAGTGTTGCGTAGGTGGGGTCAAGTCCCCTCACCTGTCCCAAGTACCCAACTGCTCGTTAAGCCATGCCATAAATGTGTCGTCCGCCCTGGACCTATCATTCCTCTCATAATGTAAAGCATGCCATGCAGGCAGAGTCGGTATAGGTTGCGGTAGGCCAAACTAACGAAATACCCGCTCGGATGCATGATGCTCGACAATATCGAGGTATATGAGTGGGACAGAAGCCCTTCAAATATGTCGGCCGAACGTGCAATACGCTGGAAGGGTACCTATCACCTCAATGTTGTACGACGTCCAGATGAGCTATCAAATAAGAACACAAACCGTTAGTATGCGCAACACTGAGTTAATCTATAACAGTTAAGTTTAGTTAGATATTCACCTGTGCATCCTCCAGCAGATCCAACACATCCCTGTAGAGGGGGAGATTATGATAGGTATCATACTCTCGTTNATATATATATAATTATGTGTTTTTATTATAATTTAAATTCATATTTTATAATAACTTAATTGTAAAAATTATATATGTATATATATATATATAATAATGTGTTTTATTATAATTTAAATTCATATTTTCTAATAACTTAATTGTACAAATTACTAATTATGTGTGTTGATACAATTATTAACTTAATTGTACAAAGTTTGCATTTTCAACTACCAATATAAGATACTTAAACAAAAGGATTCTAAGCTAAAATACTACACATTACTGTGCTACAAGGCTCTAAATTTTACTACGCTAAAAGGGTCTACGTTTTGCTACGCTAAAAAGGTCTAGTTTTACTACGCTAAAAAATAATCTAAACTAAACATAAACAACAAATAAATTTAATTGCAAATAAAACACAAAAAAAAAACACATATATATAAATCAGGATATTTTTTTAATAAAACACTAATATGAAATCCGGATAAATCTAACATGCTAGTTTCGGAAAAAAAACATAAACCGAAATACAACACATACAAATCAAATAATATGCATTATTATAAAAGTTTCAACTTAAAATAAACTGAAATACCTCGATTTAGAATTTTCGGAAAGCAAATAGATTGAAATTTTGACTTCGGAAGTGTGAATCAACAATAATACAAAGCTCTATTCAAATGTGGGACCTACGTTCTACAACTTTTATGTGACGGGGGGGCCCAAATTTTTTTTTTAACTCGTGGGCAGCGGGTATGGGGGACCAAGAAGAAAGAGGAGTAAAATATTGAGGAAGAGACCAGAACGACGATGAAGAAGGTTCTGTTGTTAAAAATTTATGTATAGCGCCAGGTATTTTGGCGCTATACCTAGGCGTATCAGGTTTTTCAGTATAGCGCCAGCTATTTTGGCGCTATATCTGGGCGTGTCAGCTTTTTCAATATAGTGCCACAATATTTGGCGCTATACGTTAACGGCACAGTTAACGTTAATGTATAGCGTCAAGTATTGTGGCACTATATATAAAATTGTTACCTTTTTTCTTATCACCTATTTATATATTTTGAGTCCAAAAGAACCATAATTGGTTCCGGACTCTTTTAGAGTCGCTCCTCATTCTTGAATACATCGATGAAACCTGGAAGACCGGACCTAGAATCTTGCCACAAGAACCCTATGAAAGAGCCATAATTCATTTTTGGGCTAATTACTTTGTTCAGGTTAGTCATGTTGAACTGTGTGACCACTGAACACTTTTATTTATTTATTTATGTCTGGGTGTGCAATATTAGGACATCTCAATATGGTCAAATCAGCCTGTTTTAAAGATGTTTTAACATTACTTTGCTCTAATATATACAGCATCTTTTACCCAGCACGGCTAAGTTGTGGAAGTCAACTGGAGAAGAACAAGAGAAGGCTCAAGAGGAAGTGTTAGAGAAAATAAGATTTGTGGAAGAGGGAATTCCTGAAATCCAAGGAAATGAATTGGGGCTCTTACAAATCTTGCTGGTCACAACATTTGGATCTCATAAAGCATATGAAGACGTCCTTGGTGTGAAGATTTTGGTTCGGGAAAACACCCCACTGCTTTATTTATGTGTGACAAGTTTAAATGATTTGCCAGCGGTGAAAGAAATTTGTCCCCCTCATGATAAGCTGGTGTCTTTACTCAAAATCTATTGGCAAATTGCCTTAGAATCCACCACCGACTGAGCGCCTGATTTTCTGAAAGTAATACTTGTTTTTCAAAAAGAAAAAAGAAAAAAAGAAAAAAAAACATTATTGTTACATAGGGGAAGGAAATATTGAGAATTGAACCCACAACTCTTTGTCAGTACCACTAGACTATAAGGGGACGTTTGATAGGATGCATTAAATAAGTTAATGCATGCATTAACTTTGTGTATTAATAATACATTATTTGGTAGACATTTAGAACCTATGCATTATTTATGCAAGCATTAGTTATACATCCTATTTGGTATTATCTTATGCATAATTAATGCATAGAAAATAATGGTATTAGCAATGCAATGGATTTTAATGCATGCATTAGCTTAATTAAAGACAAAATTGTCCTTCAAAATTTATGCTTGATTAAAATATGCTAGTTAATATATTAATGCAAGTTCAAAATAATCAAAATAGTGAGAAATAATATTATATCCCTAGTAAATAAATAAATATTTAGCATATTTTCTTTTTTATAAATAAATATTTAATTTTATTTTACAATATAGGTAGACAAATAAAATAATTTTTTTAAAACCTTTTCATATAAAAACATTTCTCAACATATGTTTCTTTTAAAAAGTTAGAGTGTGGGCTAGTTTTGAGGGCATTTTTGTAAACAAACAATTCTTTTAGAAACTGTGCAATGCTTTAATACATCATACCAAACAATGGATAAGAAATATGCCAGCATAGCTAATACCAGCATAACTAATGCAAGTATAACTAATACTAGCATTACTAATACACCCAATTCAGCATTATTCTTATGCACCCTACCAAACGACCCCTAAGTGTTAGTGGTAACCATAGTTCAATTAATTCCCAACCACAGTGTCAGTCAAGTGGATTCTGCTTGTAATAAGGTCTATGACCACGCTTGAGATCATTTGTGATATGTTATTGTATTTCAAATTTCTGAAACCATGATATGTGATTTAAGATAAGTCTGTGAAAATTGGTAATAAACGGACTTGAGATGACGTGAATCGGATCATATTTGAGAAAATTTAAAAATTTGAAGTTCTTAAGAAATTTCATTATTTTGATGCTAAATTCATAGTTGTTGATGTTATTTTGGTGGTTTGAATGCACGACCGAGTCCGTATGATGTTTTCAGGTTGGTGTGCATGTTTGATTTGGAGCCTTGAGGGCTCGGGTGAGTTTTGAATAGGCCACGGAGTAAAATTGGACTTGGGAAAATTGCAGGTTTTTAGCTGGTATGATCAGGTCTGCAGGCTTCACAAATGCGAAGTCTGACTCGCAAATGCGAGCTCGTAAATGCGACAAACCTTCGCAAATGCGAATAATGGACATGGCAGCCTGAGTCGCAAATGCGACTGTTTTCTTGCAAATGTGATTTTGCATTTGCGAATGGTCTCTCGCAAATGCGATGATGATCGGAAAGCTGAGTGGGTCGCAATTGCGAAAGTCCCAATTTTCTGAAGGTCGCAATTGCGATATCAGAGACCTGTAAATTCACACTTAGACGCATTTTCAACCATTTTTCACATCTTCTCAAACCATAAACTCTCTAGGGTGATTTTTCAAAGGCAACTTCTCTTCCTGATCAATTGTAAGTGATTTCTAACTAGTTTTCTTCAATCTTTAACATATTTTCACATGATTTCAACTCAAAATCAATGATTTTCGTGGGGGAAATTGGGTGTTTTGGGTAAAACCTAGGTTTTTCAAAAATTGGGGATTTGGATCTCGATTTGAGGTCCAATTTCAAAACAAATTACATATTTGAGTTCGTGGGGGAATGATAATCGGGTTTTGGTTCGAACCTCGGATTTTGACCCTGTGGGCCCGGGGGCGATTTTTGACTTTTTGGGTAAAACTTTGGAAAACTTATTTTCATGCATTAGAATCGATTCATTTAGCATTTATTGACGTAATTAAGTAACTTGTGGCTAGATACGAGTGAATTGGTGGTGGAATCAAGAGGTAAAGTGATAATTGAGACTTGAATTATGTTCGTGGCATCGAGGTAAGTGTTTGGTCTAACCTTAGCTTGAGGGATTAGGAGTTGTGTCCTATTTGTTATGTGTTATTTGTCGAGTACGACGTATAGGCACGGTGACGAGTATCTATACGTTGGTATCTAGCATGCATGTGAGTCTTATATTATGATTAATGTGACTCAATTTTGTATTGTTCATGCTCTATATGATAATTTCTATTGAGGAATATGACTTTTGGAAGTATTATTGTTAATTGAACATGGTAGAGCATTGGCTCAAGTTGAGCATTGAATTGTTGAACATTGTAGAGCATTGGCTCAAGTTAAGAATAGAATTGTTGAACATTATAGAGCATTGGCTCAAGTTGTGAATTGAGTTGTGAAGTAAATGTGAAAGAAGAAAGGAGAGAGAGAATCATGATATTGTCTCCCTTGCCGGGATGTTATTGTTTTGATATTGTTTCCCTTGCCGAGATTTGATTGTTGTACTATTGTTCCCTTGCCGGAATTTTATTGTGGTTCCATTTATTTCCTTTTCCTTATTTCTTGTGATTGTTGTTTGGGTGAGGAAGAGTGTTAAAGCACGAAGGGTGATGTCGTGTATGATTTTGTGAGGAAGAGTGTAAAGCACGAAGGTTGATGCCATGTCGCACGATGTACAATTCCGTATCGATTATATTGATTTTATGGTGAGGATGAGAGTAAAAGCACGAAGGGTGATGCCGTGCAGTTTATATTGATTCTTATGGTGAGTACGAGAGTAAAAGCACGAAGGGTGATGCTGTGCACTTGTCCTTGATTTTCCTGATTCTTGCTGATAATTGAGTTATGTTGTCCTTTATGTTTATTTACTGATTTTCTGTTGTTACTTGATTTTATTTCGATGTTATAGATTCTCTTACCCTATTTGCCTTGTGATTGTTGCTTGGGTAAGGAAGAGTGTAAAGCACAAAGGGTGATGCCGTGTATTATTTTGGTGAGAGAGTATTAAAGCACGAAGGGTGATGCCGTGTATTATTTTGGTGAGAGAGTGTTAAAGCACGAAGGGTGATGCCGTGCACTTGTCTTTGTTTTCCTGATTTTTATTGATAACTGAGTTACGATTTCTCTATATTTAATAGCTGGTTTCCTGTTGATACTTGTTGTACCCCGCAACATGATCTCCCCTTCCTATTTTTAATTGAACTGTGGCGATCCTCATATTTATTTGTTGTTATTCTGTTATTATTCGATGTCCCCGCAGCATGTTACCCCTCTCATACTTAACTGTACATTATTGTTCTTCTTTTCCGCTGTATATGATTTAACTGTACAAGTTTAATTGTTAGTCTGGTGCTAGCCTCGTTACTACTTCGCCGAAGTTAGGCTAAGCACTTACCAACACATGGGGTCGATTGTGCTGATACTACACTCTGCACTCTTTTGTGCAGATCCCAGTGCTATAGATTTCGAATTGCAATGAGATTGCTGTTTCTTGTTCATCAGGCGACCCGAAGTAGTCCTACAGGCGTCCGCGGGCCTTGGCGTCTCCTTCTATCTACTATTCCTGTTTCTTTCATGTATTTCCATAGACAATGTTGTATTTATTTTTTTCAGACCTTTGCTTGTAGTACTCCTAGACAGTTTGTGAAGTTGTGGCACCAGTCTTGGGTAGATTTGTTATGGATTGGTATTAGCAGTATTATTAAATCTTTACAATGCAGTCTTCCACTTATTCAATTCTGTTGTTATCTAATCGTTGGCTCTTAACTGTTATCGGATTAAAGCTGGAAAAAGGTAAATAGTTCAGTTGGTTGACTTGCCTAGCTTTCACTAGTAGGTGCCATCACGACTCGCGAGGGTGGAAAATCCGGGTCGTGACACTAACCCTCGGCCTTTATTCGGATTTGAAATTGCTACACATTTGTATACGGGTAAAATTGGGGCTAATAAGAACCCCGAGTTCCCAGTGGGTCAAACGAAGCAAGGACGTAACTACAAGGAATCAAAATCGAAGCTGGGAGCCTCTCGTATCAAGACCCAAACAAAACATCTGCCCTCGGAGCCATTGAGACCATGCCCCCGGATCTGATTCGAGCTCCAAGACCTCGGAAAGCATTACCAAACGTCCGTACACGATTAACAAAATGCTGTGATATCCGTGTCTAACCGGATATCACAGTTTGGATCTCGGCCCGTATCGACAACAGATCAGTGATTTACGAAAAGATGATTTTTACCTTTCTTAGATTTGTACCAGGGGTGAAACTCTCCTACTACATAAAGGAGATATTTTTTATTCAAGGGACATATTATAACACGCATACCAAGAAAATATACATTTGTTTTCTCTACTTCCAAAAGTTATTCAAAGTTCTTATTTTTTATCATAGTTCTTCATAAATATTTGGCTCCGAATTGAAGGCAAGCTAATTGTTAATCTCATAACCGAGACCGAACTCAATATTACTACTAGTTTGGCTATTTATTCTATCTTTAAGCTGCTCATCTAATGGTATTAGTCACTTGTAATTAGTCCACATATCCTTAAAATCATGTATAAATTCAATTGTTATCCATTTTTAAGGTTAAATGGTTTGGCGCCCACCGTGGAGCTAAGGATAATAGTGGTAGTTTGATACAAATTTTCATAACACACTCTATTTTATGCATGTTCTTTGAGATTTTAATTTCAGATCTACCTAAGAATGTCAAACTCTCACTATGCTCACTTGAACGTTGATGCTGAGTCTGGCCATCATGGCAAAAATAACAATATAGTACCTAGCAACGAGGTGCCCTTGCTAATCCCAACAGAGACCCAATTATAGACCCAATCGATGGAAACTCACATGTGGCCATCGTTGCAAACCTGCCGATTGACCTTGAGAACAGCGTTCTACGGAGGAGACCGACCAATGACTCGAGGTACGCCCGAAGGCGAAGGCGATGGGATCAATCTGCGGATGATCTTCGAAATGTTACAGGCCCAACAGGCAGTGATAACACAACTACAGAATCAAAGCCGCACCTCCAA